TACAGAATTTTGAACTATAAGGCAGGACAGAGAGAGATTGGGAAGAGAAGTTATCGAGTTTTAGACTGACAAGGACATCGAGTGAACTCAAAGTTTTCCGGTGCCAAAAAAACGTAGCTCTGATCTAGTTAGTGGTGGTGGAAAACGGCCGAAAAAAAGCAAGACAACTGTTACGCCTGCACATAAACACGTCAACTTAATATACTTGAACTATTACAAGTTTACCTAGTCGGAAAACGAGAGCGAGGATCGAGGATCCGGTGACACAACATCCTATTCAAATCCGATTATCCCAATCCCCATATTTAGTGAAAATAAGAAGACTTGATATGAAGTAGAATCTGTATTCTACAAGGATCCAGAAAGTACGAAGTCCGAATGCAGAAGAGAATCAGGATCCCGGATTAGGGATCCGGGACCGGGTCCTGGTCATCAAACGTTTCGCATAATGCGTATTTATACATTTAGGTCGAATACAAAACAGTATCGAAGTTTGTGACATTGACAGTTAAGACGACCAATAGGAAGTGATATTGATAGTCAGGAGAACAACCAATAAGAAACAACATTGGAGAACGACGTGACATTGATATCTACTAGGACGACCATAAAATTGACCAATAGGAATTAACCACTAAGAATTGACCAATAATTCTCTTAGGATATATTGGATGAACATCTAACAACAACATCAATTTCAAAAAACAGAAAAAGAAAAATGAACTTACGTTCGTACAGGTGTTTTCAAAGCATTATTACCATTGTTTGTAATAATTTCATAGGTAATTTCAATATTTGGATAACGATTACAAAATTTCGCTACATCAGCCATTTGATTTTGTGTTAAACCATCCAACAGCTGATTACGTTCATCATCTTCCAATTCAATGAAATCAAATACAGTCTCGACTTTATTCTCTTTACATTTCTGTATACGTTCCATAGTGAAATGTGGCAACTGACGTAAGTAGGAATCTTTATGCCATACAGCTTGTGTACACATTTGTGATAATTCCATAGCAGCTAATGCTGGACCTAACCAACTATTACTGGATAAGACATCAACACAAGCCTAGAAGAATGTCACAGAGAGAAATAAAAAAGGGAAAAAATCATTGGCATCAATTATTTCTCACAATATTAAATCAAGATCAAGTATTGGGGGGGTTGTAGAGATTGTTGAGTTACTACTTCATTGAGTCAGTCAGTCAGATGCAACGTAGAACTTCGTACGTATGTGCGTACATCAGTTCATGTTGCCATAACACATTAGTACACAGAGATGTAATTGTCAATTTAAATCCAATAACTCGACGTGTTAACGAAGAATGCACGTTGCACATAACTGACTGAGCCATGTTGGTAGGTGTAGATTAACTGGTTGGGGTCGACGAGACAACAGTTAACAGATGATTATAGACCTTGAATGACCTGGTTCAGAATCGTTCGCAATGGCGCAGGTGCCTTCGTCTTCTCGCAGATTCTAATCTAAAGTCTTCATAACCTTAATCTTTCTCCACTCAAATCTAATTCAGTGGATTATACTTTTGGAATAATAATATCTTTGGACCGTGATCTTTCCGATTACTGTTTATACTTCTACTACCTCTACCACTATGGGATTTGAATCGACAATTGCATCCTTGTACTACTGTGGTATGGCAACTTGAACTGATGTACGTATGTAGGAAGCTCTACGTTGTAACTGACTGATAATTGGTGACAAAAACAAATAGATCAACTACAGTCTTTAATATTTTATTAATAAAAACGTTTAAATTAATAAATTGTTGACTTTTATTCTAGCAAACTGATCGGGAAAAAATATACCATGATTAAAATGAATAGTTACCGATAATAATAATAATAATAATAATAATAATAATAATAATAATAATAATAATAATAATAATAATAATAATAATACGATTTAGCCTTTTATATTGGTTGCAGCACACGGAGAAACGGAGACAGACATGAGAAAAATGAGCAACAGTTGGAAAGAACTGCAAAGGAAGACCCAGGATAGTGTAAGTTGGAGAATGCTGATCAGTGGCCTGTGCTCCACTGAAGGTAACAGCTGTAAGTAAGTGAGTAAGTAACCGGCCCGACCGTAGCTGCTACTTTGAGGTGGTTGTGGTAGGGCTTGCCTATCGTGATGACCCAACCGAGCTATACTGGCTGGAACATATGTTCCTCAAGGTTCTACCATGTCAGGCAGGTCGATTGGAGAACGATCAGATTAAAAGCAGCTGCTCAAGTTCTGAGGGCGAAGTCGAACTACTGACTGCAGAGGGGTGTGACAGCAGTAATGTCTTTCTCTTCGACAACCAGCATCTGCAGCGATGCTGCCTTCTCACAAAGAAGGAAGGGTTAGAAAAGGTCGACCCTAAAAATGTCACACCTTACCTTATCTCACGGATTTCCGTCTCCAGCGGTAAGGGATGCCCAGTAAGTGCTTTAAAAAAAGCGGAGCTAATACTCAGAAAATATTTCATAAAAAAGCCGTGCGTGACCGGGATCAAGCAGTTGTCCCTCGGGCTCTGCGGTCACGTTCTCAGGTCTCTAGGACCAACTCTAATCTACCTTCCTTTTGACGTTCCTCAAGAAACACCGTTCCACAGTGTGGGCAGCCGGGAAGTGACAACCGCCCTCATACCCGTAACAGCACACGACTGAAGTAACCGATCATAGCAATAGCTTAGTGATATAACAATAATAATCACGTGTTCATTCATTATCTGCGTTTTCAAACATTATGCGAATAACTCAACGAATATGAGTGAAAACATCAACTGTGATATATAAGGTTATGTAATTGACAATATTAAGTACACTTATTGCGATAACTAGTTAGTTTGTCAATTAATAATCCCAAAGAAGATTCTAACAACCATATATAAATTCGATGTGAAAGAAAGAGATGTAAATGATGATAAGAGTGAAAAGAAGATAACAGAAGATTGGATTCAATTCAAAAGTGAACAATGATGATAGGATGATATGAGATTGTAATGAGAATCCTACTCAATATACCTTATCGTACCACCACACGTGTTGTATACGAAATCGACAAGATCAGAAACAAGTGTCCAGTGGTTTAACAGGGTTATTGGATAAGGAAGTTCTACCTAGGAAACCATGACTCTACAATAATGGTATACATGAATTCCAGAGTCTGGAAGGAACAAATGACATGCGCGGTTATTGTTGGTCCCGACTACCATGGGACTGACTGCATCACTTGATACTGCTCGATTGTCTGATTGACTAGATATGCAGGTGACAGGCTCCCTATGGGTAAAAAACCACTTGGCTCAATCTGTGGCTTCCGGAAGGCATCACAGTACAACACACATACACAATGGATTGTGTGGGGCGCACATAAATATTTAAATAACCTTTTGTAAAAATGTTTATTTTTCTAAAAAAATAAATAGTAAACTTACTTGAATTAAACGTATAGTACAACCCAATAAACGATCCGTATCGGTTTGCATTTCATTCGGTAATTGTAAACGAGATAAATGAGCTTGCAGCAACAAATTCGCTTTAACATGTGGACTAGAGAATTTAGCTTTCGGTGCTAATTTCTGTGGTACTTTAGTACTTAACTGACGTAATAAAATATCTTCATGATGTCGTACAGGCAGCAGAACATCAAATTCTGTAGCATTACTTATGACATCGAGTAAACCACGAATTTTCATTTTTGCTGTTAATGATAAACTAAATAATTCTGTAAGAATTAAGAAAAGAAAAACAGGAAGAACAAAGAACAAAGATGAGATGAAAGAAGTGCAGTGTATGACCAAAATATTGTGATATATTACTTACTTACTTACGCCTGTTACCCCCCCGAATGGAGCATAGGCCGCCCACCAGTTTTCTCCAACCAACTCTGTCCTGGGCTTCCAATTTTTGTTCATTCCTCTCATATCTTTCTCTATTTCTCGGCGTAATGTATTCTTTGGCCTTCCTCTTTTCCTTTCGCCTTGAGGGTTCCATGTGAGGGCTTGTCTCGTGACGCAGTTCGGTGCTTTTCGTAGTGTGTGTCCTATCCACTTCCACCGCTTCTTCCTGATTTCCTCCTCCACTGGAATCTGGTTTGTTCTCTCCCACAGTTCGTTGTTGCTGATGGTGTCTGGCCAACGAATACGAAGTATTTTGCGTAGACAACTGTTAATGAACATTTGTATCTTGTGGATGATGGCTTTGTTAGTTCTCCAAGTTTCCGCTCCATACAGTATATCTGTCTTGACATTTGTGTTGAAAATCCTGATTCTGGATTTGGTTGAAAGTTGTTTGGAGTTCCAGATATTTTTCAACTGTAGAATGCAGCCCTCGCTTTGCCAGTCCGCGCCTTTACATCTGCGTCCGATCTACCTTTCTCGTCTGTGATTGTGGCAAGATATGTGACGGTGTTAACGTCCTCCAAGGTATCTCCATCAAGCGTGATTCGGTTGGTGCATGTTGTGTTGCATCGGAGAATTTTGCTTTTTCCTTTATGTATGTAGAGACCTACTGCTGCAGAGGCTGCTGCTACACTGGTCGTCTTCTCTTGCATTTGTTGTTGAGTGTGCGATACAAGAGCCAGGTCATCTGCGAAGTCCAGATCGTCCAGCTGCGTCCTAACTGTCCAGTTGATACCGTGCTTCCCTCCAGATGTTGACGTCTTCATAATCCAGTCGATGACCAGGAGAAAGAGAAAGGGTGAGAGTAAGCAGCCTTGCCTCACACCGGTCTTCACCTCAAAAGAGTCTGTCAGCTGACCTCCGTGTAGGATTTTGCAGTTGAATCCATCATAAGAATTCCGTATGATGTTGACTATTTTCTCAGGCACACCGTAGTGTCGAAGAAGCCTCCACAGTGTTTTCCTATCCACGCTATCGAATGCTTTCTCGTAGTCGATGAAGTTGATGTAGAGTGGTGAGTTCCATTCAATTGATTGTTCCACAATGATCCGTAATGTAGCAATTTGGTCAGTACACGATCGATTCTTACGAAATCCGGCCTGTTGATCGCGAAGTTCGGCGTCTACGAAGTCGTCCATTCTGTTTAACAACACCCTGTTGAAGACTTTTCCGGGTATTGAAAGAAGAGTGATGCCTCTGTAGTTCTCACACTTGCTGAGATCGCGTTTCTTTGGTATTTTGATCAGGTATCCTTCTTTCCAATCTGATGGTACTTGTTCCTCATCCCAAATCTTCTTGAAGAGGATGTGAAATATTTACGCAGTTGCTTCTACATCTGCTTTCATTGCCTCTGCTGGAATGTTGTCTGGTCCTGCTGCTTTGCCGTTCTTGATTTGTCTGATGGCTATACTGATCTCCTCAATCGTAGGTGCGCCAATATTAATTGGGAGGTCCGTGGATGCTGCTTCGATGTTGGGTGTGTTCAGTGGAGCTGGTCGATTCAATAGTTCCTTAAAGTGCTCTACCCACCTATTTCGCTGTTGTTCAGTGTTGCTGATTACTTTCCCTTCCTTGCTTTTCACTGGTCGTTCTGGTTTACGATAGTTCCCGGCGAGCTTCTTTGTAGTTTCGTACAATTGTCTCAAGTTTCCGTGTCTTGCAGCCTTTTCCGCCGTATTGTGATATATTACCTATGGATTATCTAGGTTGTTGGACGAACTGGATTTCGTAGCTGATTATTAAACTGTTGGGGATGTTAGATGCCCGAAATTCGCTTGATAAAAACGCTTTATTTTGGTTTTCACGTTTGCGCGAGCATGGGCTGATCAGTTGACCTTGAGATTTTAATTTCCCACCAGGAAAATCCATGGCTGTGTGATTGGCTGCTGCTGTGTATTTTATTAGTGTGCTATTTTCGTGTGACTGTCCCAAGGACGTTTCTATGATGTATAAATAAACGAGAGTTGTGGTGTGCTTGATTGTATTGTGTGATTGCTGGGTGTTTGTAGAATACACTTTCTACGCTTACCACGACTTTTGTTTTACCGTTTGGATTCAAGGTAGCCTACCTGGACGCTGGTTCATTGTCTCGTTCACGTTTATCGACTAAGGTGAACTCGTAATAGACTCAAGCATACTTAGTGACGAAGCCAATCTGAACACACAACAACCAATATAGGAGAAGATGGCCAGTGTAGCAGCAGTAGGTACTAACATACACAAAGGGAGAAGCAAGATTCTACGATACAACAAAACATGCACCAACCAAATGACACTTTGGAAGATGAAGAAAGCTTTACTTAACAGGGCAGCATCAGTGACATACAAGGTAAGTGTGAAACAGATGTAAAGATACGGATCCGTAAAGGACACAGTATTTCTATAATTGAAGAACATCTGGAACTCAAAACAACTGTCTGTCAGCTAACACCAAAGTCACTCGACCGTAGCTGTTATACCATGACGTGCTGGTCATGCTTGCATATCGTAACAACCCAAACGAGGTATATTGGCTAGAACATATGTTCCTGTAGGTTTTACCATGCTATGCAGGTCGATTGGGGAACAATGAGAAATCCATAAAGTCACTGACAAGTGGACTGAGTCATGTTGGTAGATGTAAACGACCTGGTTGGGGTCTGCGGGACGAAAGTTACTGATGGTTATAGACCTCGAAAGACATGGCTCAAAATCGTTTGCAATGGCGCAGGTGCATTCAGTCTTTGTGTTCTCTTAAATTCTAACCTTCTGAATTCCTCATCATCTCTATCTTTCTTTTTCTAAAGTTACCTCACTGAACTATACTTCTTGAATGATATCTTCGATCCCTAATCTTCTTCATTACTGCTAATACTTCTGCTATCTCTGAGATTATGGTGTTTGAAGTGACAGTGGCGTCTCTATGTTTGTGCGGTATGGGAAACTGAACTGATGTACATACGTACAAAGTCCTAGGTTGTAACTGACTGAACACCAAAGTCAGAATTTTCAATGCAAACATCAAGACAGTTCTTACTGTATGGGACGGAAACTTGGAGAACAACAGAAGTCATCATCCAGAAGATACAAGCCCCAACTTGGAATCCTCAAGGCCAAAGTAAAAGAGGAAGACCATAGAACACATCACGTCAAGAATCGGGAACAGACATAAAAATAATGCATAGCAATTAAGAAGAACTAGGAAACAAAAGCCCAGGACAGAGTTGACCGGACAATGCTGATCGGTAGCCTATGCTCCATTAGAGTTAACAGGAGTAAATAGGCAAGTTGAAAATAAATAAAAACTGTGAAGCTAGTATATATTTCTTTAATCTATTTATCTATCTATGAAAATTTCAGCATTCCAAATAGATCATCAAGTAGAATTGTATAATTCGTTTGAAGAATCCCATTGTGAAAATTAGAATAACAATCCGCTAGCTAAAGTGAAGTGTGATATTCCTTCATTGCAGATGCTGGGTGTTCGAGGGAAACACCTTACTGCTGCTAAACCACTCTGTATTCAGCAGTACGACTTCGACCTCAGACTTAGAGTTGCTGCTCTCAGTCTTACTGTTCTCCAGCCGATCTGCTGGTCATGGCAGAACCTACACGAATATATATCCCGACCAATAAAGCCCAGTTAGGTCATCAAAATAGGCAAGCCGAACCACCACCACCAGGTCAAGGTAGTAGATACACGGTCGGGAACAAACGATTGTGTAATATAAAAAGTCTTTGTTTTAAATGACATATATATATGTCATATTATCATGTTTGATTAATTGTAGGCAAATTTAAGTGAATCAATTCAACAATAATAATGAAGAGAGAAACCAAGGAATATACTATGCTGAGCATTGGAAGCTGAGATGAAAAGAATGTATAATAATTAGGTAGACGTGAAAAGGAACGCCCAGAACAGAGTGGATTTGGAGAATACCGGTTAGCGGCCTATATTCTTCATACATGTTTGTTTATTTAAAAAAAAAATTATTGTGAGAGTAATTACTACTTGTTTTAATCTTAAAATCTTTGAATTATCATCTTGAAAGTTTTTTTTAGTTGTGTTACGCTTGCACGTAAACACGTCAAATTGATATACTTGAACTATTGCGGGTTTACCTAGTCAGAAAACGAGAGCGAGGATCGAGGATCCGGTGACACGACATGCTACTGAAATCTGATTATCCTAACCCCCATATTGAGTAAAAATAAGGAGACTTGAATGTGAACTAGAACCTGTATTCTACAAGCATCCAGAGAGTACGAGGTCCGAATCCAGAAGAGAATCAGGGTTCCAGATTAGGGACCCGGGACCGAGTCCTGGTCCTGGTCGTGGTCATAAAACGTTACAGATCATGCGCATTTATACATTCAGGTAGAACAGGAAACAGCATCGAAGTCCGTGACATTGACAGTTAAGACGACCCAATAGGAAGCAACATTTGAAGTGACATTGATAGCCAGGTCAACCAATAAGAAACAACATTGGAGCCGGCGACATTGTTCTCTAGGACGACCATAAAATTGACCAGTAGGAATTAACCAATAGGAATTGACCAATAATTCTCTTAGGATATTGGATGAATATCCTAACAAGTTCTATGTGTTCTGTTAAGTTCTTTAATACTGTTGTTATTAGTGATTTGAATTACAATTTCGATTTTTGCAACCTTTCACCTAATTGTGTAGGTTGGAAAACGACTGGTCGGCGTCCTATGCTCTATTGGGGATGACAGGCGTAGTATATATATATATATATATATATATATATATATATATATATGGTATCTACTACCTGGTCTTAAAGGTTGGTTATCTCGATTTTCTATAATCTGATGGCAATTCGTTGAACTGACTATTTTGATCCTATATTAAGAATGGGATAGAAAAAACTGTTCCCTAAATAACAGGAATATTCGTTTATTTTATTTGACTGGCAGTGGTGATTTCATGTCCTTTGTTGATTTAGATAAGTTTAGATACGTACAACTTGTATTTCATAGATTTTGTAATAAAAATAATACCTAAAATCATGTATGTCTACTTGTACTTTGGTAGTTAACACACTGCGTTGGAGGCTATACAACAGAATTACAAATGTATTGGTTTGAAAGTTCACTTTGTACCAGTCATTTAATAGCACTTCAATCTCACAGTGAATGGTAGTAGATTAAACCGAAAACATATGTATCCTCAGAGCTTTATGAATTAAATAGTCTGTTAACTGCTCGAATTTCATTAACGCGCTGTGAAAAAAAGTACCTGACATAGAATACTCTCAATATTCAAGTTTCAGGCGTAGACTTTGAAGTAAAGTACTAAGTATGTAATAATATGGACACCATCAGCAACAATCTATTATGGGAGAGAACAAACCAGATTCCAGTGGAGGAGGAAATCAGGAAGAAGCGGTGGAATCGGATAGGACATACATTGTGGAAAGCACTCAACTGTGTAACAAAACAAACCCTCACATGGAACCCTCAAGATCAAAGGCAGAAAAAGAGGAAGGCTAAGGAACACATTACGCCGAGAAATAGAGAAAGACATGAGAAGAATGAACAAATATTGGACAGAACTGGAAAGGGAAGCCCAGGACAGAGTAGGCTGGAGAATACTGGTCGGCAGCCTATGCCCCACTGGGGGTAACAGGCATAAGTAAGTAAGGTAAGAAGTACAAAGTTTTAAAGGTGTATGAAAAAAATAAGCAAATGCATGGATATTACTGTGACTGAGGGCGAAGTCGTACTGCTGACTGACTGTAGAGGGGTGTGACAGCAGTAAGGTGTTTCCCTCGGACAACCAGCATCTGCAGCGCGATGCTGCCTTCTCACAAGGAAGGAAGGGATAGAAAAGGTCGACCCTAAAAATGTCACACCTCACCCTACCTTACGGATTTCCGTCTCCGAAGGTAAGGGTGCCCACTAAGGGCTTTCAAGAGCGGAGCTAATACTCAAAAATCCTTTCATAAAAAATCTGTGCGCGACCGGCCTCAAGCAGTTGTCTCTTGGGCTCTGCGGTCACGCACCCAGGTCTCTAAGACCAACACTAATCTATTTTCCTTTACAGGTCCCTCAAGAAACAACCTCCCGCGGTGTGGGCAGCCGGGAAGTGATAACCGCCCTCATACCCATAACTGTGACTGATTTAAAAGTCTTCAACATCTAATCACATTTAATGTACAAATATCAATCAGATACTCTGATCAAACAAACAAAAAACAACAGCATAAAATAGAATAAATCAACTTACCAATTGTATTATATTGAATATAATAATATGCTGAAATCATGCCAAGATTTAATGGTGCTAGATCAATACTATCTTCAATTGAAATACATTTCGATGTTTCCAAATCATTTAATGTTGTCTCAACTAATTCACTTAAATGATCACTTAAATGACGATGTGTTACACCCTAATTATAATCAAAATAATAATAATGATAGAAACATTGAAATTTAAGAAAAATTCTGACAACACAATGAAATTAACTGAAGATTGTTGGTTTGTTGTAACGCTTGCTTAAATAATTCCCAGCTAAATCCTATTGCTTAGTATTCTCTGACCACAATACACTACTGGACAAGTTCCAAAGAATCAAAAACACGGTTGAACAGGTTGAACAGATCATATTCCAAATAACTAGGTTAAGTGGATGGCGAAGGCGAAGGCAAAAAAGGATACAACGTTAGTCTATTTACAGCATTTACATGAGAAGCTTCTGGATAGAAATTCATGTATGTGATCGACTGGATTAGATTTAACCAATCAGCACGCAGCTAACAGTACGAGAATCTTCTATCCTGTTCTCCAAGATTCGATCAGGCGCTGATTGGATAGGAAATTAGCCAATCAGCGCTCAGCTGACGCAGTCATGCTTTAATTCCATCTATGTCCCACTAACAGGATTATACATTTTTTAAGCATGGGTTATAATGCATGGTGTCTGAGATCTGAAGATGATACATGCCAAGCCCCTAAACTGACCACTTCAGCGGAAAGGCAAGAGTGGAAGAGGAAGTATATTTGGCTACCGAATTATATACATAAATACACATGTACATATTTACATTCCTTTCCCATTGAAAATAAATTTAGTTCTTGACCAATGATATGCATTTGTCCTTTAGAACACGTCTGATAGTGATCACATGACTTTCGCTTCTGATCACTTCTGATTGGCTCTCTATGTAACACAATAAACTGAAAGTCAGTCGTAAAATAAAACAGATTTATGGAAATCACACTCTGAGGTACTGAAAAATATGGAATTTTAATAATCCAAACACAGTTGAGCAGTACCGATAGTTTCTGGATGATATTGAAAATTTGTAAACTAATCCTTAGAATCTGAATGTAATCAGTTAGTTCGTTGAACAAAATAAGAAATTCGCTTCAAGTTGACTGTATTACAGTAGAATAACATTTCGGGAAAAGAAAAATAGCCCATCTTCATTGAATACTAACTAGTTTTGGGGTGATTCATTCCAAAATTTCTACTGTCAAATCACATTATCTTCTCCTAATATGGATATAATGACAAAAGATGGGATCGACTAAGTGAAGTCAGTCAGTTGCAACGTAGAACTTCGTACGTAAGTACAGCAGTTCATGTTGACATATCACAATTAGCACACAGATATAATTGTCAACTCAAATCCAATAGTAGAAGAGGTAGCAAAACGTATTAGAAGTAATCGGAGAGGTTAGGATTAGAAGATATTATTCAAGAAGTATGATTAAATGAGAAAAGTTTAGAAAGTCAAAACTAGAGGTGTTAGAGAGTCCAGAAGATTAAGATTTGAGAGAACACAAAGAATAAATGCACCGGTGCCATTGCGAACGATCTTGAGCCATGTCATTCAAGGTCTCTAACCATCGGTGACTTTCTTCTCGCGGACCCCAACCAAATAGCCTACATCTACCAACATGAATCAGTCCACTGACCAGTGACTTCATGGATTTGTGCCATGTTTTGGTTTGGCCGTCCCTAACTTTTGTCCAACCTATTCCTACACTACAAAACATAACTCGTCGAGGCAGTCGGTGGTTAGGCATACGCAACACACTTCCCAACCACCTTAACTGATGAAGTTTCACCACTTCATTTATTGATCTGACATTCTTGCCTAGCACCCGATTCCTAATAACAGCGTTGCTCATTCGAGTGTCCCAGGATATACGAGCAATGTTTCGAAGACACCTATGATCGAAAACCAGTAACCGACGAGTATCTTCTACTCTCACTGGCCATGTTTCACAACCATAAAGTAAGACGGAGCGAACCACTGCACAGTACACTCGTCCTTTAGTCAGCAAGCGGATATCTCGCCTACGCCATAAGGTGCATTTTTTCCGCAGGTTTGGCAAAAGCCAATCGCGCCTGCCCCGGTATCCGTGCCCAGATTTCGCTACATGGTACACCCAGCCATCCGCACTGATGAGACTCCCAAGATAGTGAAGCGGTCTCACACGTTGCGACTACTTCACTCCCTATCATCGTAGTTTCAGGTGGCCGATGCAACCCAGTCTTGATGGCAAACATTTTGCATTTCGAGGGGGAAAACCGCATCCCGAACATGCTCGCATTGTTGCTTATGGTAGTCAGAAGACTCTGCATTTTGTCAGCGTCTTCACCGAATAGAACTATGTCATCGGCATATTCTAGATCAGTAAGCGACTTCCTGGTAGAAGGTCAACCTCTGAAAAATCTGACGAGCTTAATGTTAACTCGAAGAGGATGTCTACGACAAAGTTAAACGAGAATGGAGAGAGTGGACATCCCTGACGGACACCACTTG